TGTTTGTTGTGCGCATCATAAGACATGTTTAGTCAGCATTTGTTATATATGAATGTTCGGTTTAACACGTTTTTCACACGAAATAAAAATGAAATAAATATTTAGAGTTTTCAAAACAGTAAAGGTCTATTTCTTTGATTTCCTCCCGTATCTGAATTCTTTTGTCCTCCTCTGCATAAGAAATGTCCTTGCCAATAATATCGTTTCATTTTTAATAATTTATTATATTTTATTTTTAAAAGTTTATTGGATAAGAATTAGAATTTCTAAGATTGTAAAGTAAGTGATGCAAATATGGCCAGTGCAGGCAATATGGCCAAGTAACGGTTACGATGGTAGCTGATGATGTATTTCCGATTGTGCAAGCAAGCAGTCTGGGAGAGTGTAAGAAGTGCGTTGACACCCTATCAGACTTTTTGATTCGCATTTTCCCACTGGGGTTTTTCTTGTCAAGATCTCGCTGGAGGCGCTCTGTCCTTGTAATTTCTTATAAATTTCTTACAAACTCTTGCGCTATTGTTTTAAAAAATAATTTACTTCAGGCCGTATTTTTGTAAGATTAGACTGTGAGTGTAACTTATATTATATATTAGTATAGCTATTCCTAGTTCCATAGTCAAGCTACAAGAAAAAAGTTAATTTGGCAACGGCTATAAAACCTTAATGTAGGCATATTAGCTTCAAATTAATGTATCTGTAAAATAACAACAAAGTATTCCTAAATCACTTTTTTTGTGATATAGCTATTTCAACTTGAAGCAAAAGTGTTAAACTTTCCTCATGATGGCCTTAATTTGTCCAAATGTTGAAATATATAAAAAGCAAACTTTCAGGCGCTTAACGTGGCCATATTACCTTCACATACCTTATTTCTTTGTAGTGTGGAAAAGAGAAATTCTTTCTCACACCAAGATGAACCACGTATTGCATAGAGAAATGTATTATTTGGCGAATTAAAACAATCACACTGTGATATGCTCACAAGGACTTCATTTGGTTCAATTTGCTTTTAGTGAACTGATACAGTTTCTCTGTATAAGTAAAATGAATCCCGTGTTTATTTTCAAATGAAAATTCTAAAGCGTGGCGAAGTACGCGGATATTTTCTCGGAAAGCAACTGCAATTCAAACTTGTAAAACCAGTAGTATCGAATACTGACCAAAAGTGCTGTTCTCGATTTATTTTGATGGTTGATTGGTCACAACGTACACCCGACTGCTTGTATCATATTCAATATAATTTCAAACACGCATATCGGAGGTTATGGAATGTATAACATGCTGTACTTTCTTTCAATCTTCATGTACAAAATATTTAGTTTATAATGTGAAAACATTAGATCAAAATTAACTTTGACCATTTTCCTTCCAGACTTCTTCAGATTTGCTTTTATCAGAATTGATAATATGCAATATTGTACGGATATAAAAATAACTTAATAGATATGGTATTTATACGTTCAAAGTTACAGTGACCTGCCAAATCCTCTCATTATTGCGTCACCCAGTGGCTAATCAAGAAATAACATTGAAGTTTTACTTAATCTGTACACACCAATTACCGCACATTGTCTTAATACTTTAGAGAAGTGTTTCCATTATGGATAAACTTTTGGTTTCAAGATAACAATCCAAAACAATATGTCAGAATATTTATAAAGCGGTGGAACTGAAATTGATTCTACCCTACAATTTCTTTTTACACCCTAATGTATCTCTTTCACCAAGCGAACCCAAATCCGTTTAATGGGATTATTTTGTCATTTCTTAGCAATTTCGCATGGCGCATCACAGAATTTTTCTTTCGGTCAGCATTCACGCTTTTCTGTCAAAAGTAGATACGTCACAATAACGTTATGGATAGCCCTCGTTTCCTGAGAACGGACAACAATTGGAAGTCCCGTCGAACAAACCCACTGAACTGCAACGCCCCACGCGGAGTGTTACGGAACCTCCGAGCGTTGCGGCTCGCTGGCGGTGTGGATCGGCGACGCCAGTCATAATTCGCTCATTGTTATGGTAATTATGTAAACGGACGCCATTGTGGGAAAATGCATTTAATTCCCATTACAAAATCAACATGTCCTACTTATATATAATGTACACATACCATTTACATACGAGCGCGGCGAACGCGATATAGAGAGGTTGCAGAACTAAGTGCGTTACTCGTACGTGCTTATCGGCGAGCGATGTGTCCCAGATCATTACGTCACCTGCTGCGTAATGTGATGCATCGCACCCAATAACGACACCACAAAATTCCCACGTGTACTTCCCCCATTTGCAGGTCGAAATAGACATTTAAATACGGCCTGTTGCTCTCGAAAACCTGAAAGCATTTAACCGTCGTTAGCCTCTCACCGATCTGACAGCATTGTGCATGCATATTGAGTTCGTGACCCCCTCAATAACGTGTCAACTTCAGTGGGCTACAAATACCTGCGTTTGACTGCTTACTATAATAGATGGGTTCCCTACTAAAAAGCGTCTAAATTCGTTGACAGAGAATGTTCAAACGTCTATTTCATGTTGACAAACATACAATACGCCTCGGACAAAACAGAAGTAAAAGTAGATCGTTTAGATTATTGAGTGAAATGTTTCATTCCACAATATATATAATTAAAACCAATTCTTCAAAAAAAAGTGAACTTATGTGGAATTCGTGACTTTGCTCAAGGTTTACTAATATTGCAGATCTAACTGATTTTCGAAGAACATTGTAGTTGGCTAATGATGTCTATTAAGTTATCTTGTATACTGAACCGCTAGAAAGAAATAATTATGTTTTGATAAAACTTTTTCAAATGAATCTGCGCTTATTATAATCGAATAGAATACGTCGAACGGGGGATTGTTGTTCTTCAAAAAGTAAAAATAAGGAATCTCATAGATCAAATATTTATTGGACGAATGAGATGGACAAATAAACAAGAAAAAGAGAAAAACATACTGTCTGAATTTATGTATTTATTTGCAGTTCAGACAAAATTTATTTCTCTTGTGCCTTTTTAAAACGATTTTGCCTAACTTAGTGTGGTAAAATTTCCCCCTGATCAGTAATTATTTTCAGCCTGGATTTCAAATATTTTCGAATGATTGGTTAGAAGAAGATCGAACTGCAGAAAGCTCAATATTGTCAGCTATGTATTCACAAAATGAATCATAAATTGCTCATTTATTGCTGAAGTTTTTAGCCCCGGCACAGCGGGGCCTCGATAGCTAGTTAATAGGTGACATCCAAATGTATTTAAACATCACCTTCTTCTTCTTTAATTTCGACCACCCCTCCACGTAAATTCAAGATATATATTGAGTTATGAGAGACTTAAATTTCTCATAACATGGCCTCCGTTGCGGAAACAGTTGAAAGTACTGAGGAAGGAACTTGATAACGAGTCCTTCACTCAGTGCGTGAGACGGCTTTCGCTTAACGAAACCTATCAAGCCCCTCAAACCAACGAAGCTCCGGCAACGCTAAAACAATTAGCTCGACACGTCTTCACTATAGGGCAAAGAAGACAAGCACTCCCCTTTAATATTCTGAGGGCGTAGTGCAGCACCAAAGCCTGTTTGGTTATTGACTAAGGTCCGACGTGAACCCATATCAGCCACTTACACATAGCAGTAAAACACGAAATGCGTGCTAACTCCAACACAGACTACAAAATCACACAAAACCTGCAGCAAAGACGAAAAAATAACAGTTGAATTTTCTTCTGAGACTCACATCTGTTTTGTTACACCGCACTACATTGCCTCTCAGTGCACTGTGTTGCTGAAGATTTTCTACAATAACAATGAAACTCTAGTATGGAATAAGAAGCCACAGATACGTATATTAGGACTGTTGTCACCGTTCCAGCCAATAAATCTGACATTATTCTACTAGACAAAAATAAATAAGTCCGTCTGATTGACATAGCCACTCCACTATCCCCGAATAGCCATAGCAACAAGACCAACATGGCAGAAGAAAATGTGGAAAGTCAAGAAAGTTCATGTTAGATTCATCATCATTTCAGCCACAGAACTTATTTCTAAAAGCGTGAAGGAACGCTTGCACGTGAAAGAAATCCTTGAATTGGAAAAACACATATCAAAAATGCAGAAATCTGTTATACTTAACACTTGCCTCATTGTGAAAAAGTTCTTGGGAGACGAGTTTGATTGAATTCAACACAATTACTTTTTAACCATGCGTGCAGAGCCAATAGATGCCGTGAAATATGTATATAGGAACAATAGTAAATAGTTTATCTAATTTGTGTGTTTTATATGTGTAAATTTAGCTTTTATTCTGATAAAACTATATTATGTAATGTAATAAATAATAATAATAGTAGTAGGAGTAATAATAATAGTAATAATAATAATATTAATAACAACAACAACTCGAATGTAATTTTCGCTTTCTTCGTCATTTTATTGAACAATTAAAATGAGCACGATTATACTATATTTAAATGTATGCCAAAGATTTTATGTACAAACGAGGGTAAACTTCTCTGCCTTCTGAATTACCAAAGAACTATATAAGTAAAGAGAGAAGTCCACATAAGTTGAGAGGGGTGAACAGTGACATCACATACTAATATTTTAAAATATTACGTAGGTTATCTGTACACGAGTATTGGGCATTAACACGATGAAAACTGTAAATTGCATTGTCCATTAATTCACATAAAATACAAATATCCGTTAGATTGAATAACATCCGCAATGATTTAAGGTGGAAATATTTCATGAGCAAATCAAACGCTATTCTTCAGAAGCTATCATTACAGAAAATTTAAATACGGTGTTCCAAACGTCAGCACGGACGCACATACACGTCGCCGTCTCCCCAGGCACGTAGTTCCGGCGATCGCCGCACGCGCGCCGCCGCCGTCACCATTATGGCCGGCGCGCCACCTGTTTGCCCTGCGCGGCCCATCAGCGGGCGGTAAACAGCCCGGGGCGGCACGAGCGGGGGACACCGCGCTGCCTCCCGCGGGCTACAAAGAGGCGGCAAGGGACGGGATAGCGATGGAGTTCTCGGCCACTGAGATGGTGGCGGTGGCAGTGGCGGTGGTGGGGGCGTTGGCAATGGGGGGCGCGAGCGGAAGGGAGGCGGGAGCGGAGGCGCAGGCGGTGGCGGCGGGTGGGGCGGAGGAGGCGAAGCGGACGGAGGCGGGAGCGAGGCTAAGCGTGGGGGGCGGGGGCAGTGGCAATGGGGGGGTGGGGGTGTTCTGCACGGGGGTGACGGAGGCGGTGACGGGCGATGATGTGGATGGTGACGATGGGGGAAGGGGCGGAGGCAACAGCGGTAGCGGCGACAGCGACTGCGACGGTGACTGTGAAGGTAATAGAATTGGTGGATGGGTGACGATGATGGCTATTGACAAGTGGTTGTGGTGGTAGAAGCAGTGGAGGTGGCGATAGCTGCACTGGTAGAGAGGGCGGTTCCTGTTGTGCTAGTGGTTAAGGGGTGACGCCATGTCAGTTCCTACAAACGAGATACATTCGTGAGAAATCTGTGATTTTAATAACGTAGTATCGACGCGAATTTTGTAATTTTGTGGTCAATTAATCTGAAAGAAATGAATAATTGTCAAATCAATTTTCACAATATTATATATCACTGACCATACGGTGTAATATTTACAATATATTCATATCATAATGAAGCACTCTTTTAATCAACAATGGTAATGAGAGTGCTGGCAAATATACATCAGGCCAGAATACAAAAGCCATAATATTGAATCTATTGATATACGATAGAAAAAATAGTTTTGGAAATCTTCACGAAAAATTGGCAGCAGAAGAAAAAAAAGAAAAAAATTGACACATTTCTCAACCAATGCAGGATACTTGACTTTTCAACAATACAAATTGTTGATAAACCGTCATTTCGTTGGAGAGTCCTTAGAAACGATGAAACGATATATTTACAGGGAAATTGGGAGTACTATCACATACTTTCAAGAGTTGGATCATAAACAGATATTTATTCAAAAGTCGATTATTTTAACTCTCTGGAGAATAGATAAACACTATACGTGAACTCATATTTTACCTTCCCGTACACGTAGTACATAGAAAATAATTTAATGTATTAAATAAAGGACGTCAAAAGTCTGTCGAATATGTTTTGATGACCGATTTTGCCACGTTTTTATTGTCTTTTTTCCTGTCGGCAACGGAAGCGCCTAAAATGTCCTGAGGGTTTTCTACAAATGGGTTTTTCTCTTCGCAATCTTGGCAGTCACTCGATTTTTTTGAGGGGGGGTCCTTATCTTTACATGAAATCCCTTGGAACATTTGCAACATTTTCTTAAGAATGGCTCCAATATTTTTCTTTAACCTTTTTGAAAGAATACAGGACAATACAGTGAATTATACGGCAGAAGCCGTATGAATTCTACGGCCATTTTAATTACAACTTATGAAATTTAAAATAAATTAATCATTTGTAATTGTTTGAACTGTTGTTTCAAGTTTGCGAAGATTTATTTAGCTGTAATTGCGAACCAAAAATCAATATTTATCTTTGAGACTTCCTTGTATGGTGCTATACAGAAGCCTCTTGCATCCGTCAACTGCTGACTATGACAAGTGAGTGACGACCCTCCCGCAAGAATACTTCTCAAGCGCACTAAATTTGCTCGTGTCACTGGGCTCTATTCAACTATTCATTCGCTCTTCCTAGGAAAATAATTACTCAAGAAAAACGAGCTTTCGTGTTTCGAGACGTTTTTCTGGGCGATGTTATCATAATAAACAAGAAAGTTATTCTTCTCGGTCTACTTTTCATTACCAAGTTTCAAGTCACGTGATGTATGTTCGTGTAAAAAGTTGACAGTCGCCTCCGAGGCTTCTTGGGCTGCTTCAGAAATCTTTTGTTTTTAATGAAAAAGAGGCATTTCCCGTCAAATCCTCTAGTGCTTTGCCTTATCTTTTCAGATACTTCAAGTCTCCGTTTCCACCTCTTTTCTTTCGAGGCAACTGATCGTTATCTTGGAGCAAATGAATGCTAGTCCGTAAGCATACTTTAAAATGTACGTAGCTGCTTTTGCGAACGACCGAAAAGAAGAAAGAGAGCTTTTAACGAAGATCAGAAACATAAGCCCAAAGTGAGAGTGGAAGAAAGAGTTTTGCAAAATTGGGGAAAAAGGAATTTTTTCAAAAAAACTTCGAGTTTTACCAATACCATACATATAAAAACGTTTGCCACATGACTGTTTTTATCGCACATTCACACACAATGAAATGCTCATATATTATATTCATCTACATGTGATTTTAGGAAAATACTGCAGTGAAGTTTCACGAAATATATTTATTTTCTAAGGGATTAATGAGCAATTACCTTCAAAATAATTATGGAAAAGCCCAAACGAATTCGGCCAGAATCGGATAAAAATAAACGAAAATCGATCTATTAACATAGCATCAATGATAAAAGTGTGAGGCCACCTTTTTAGTTAAGATGGATTTGAGAAAAAAATATATTTAATTTCTTTTGAATCAAAAAAATTTGCAGCCCCACTTACATCGGAAATCTGTCTCCCCCTTCTGGACGCTACTGAAAAGTAAAGCGGCTGCCAATTTCTTTGACTCGGGTCTGTTGCCAAGTTCAAACGTTGTAAGGTGATTGATTAATTAATATTCAAATACACACGTTGTTCGACGGGAAACACACATCACATTTCTTTATTTTTTGATGTAACATGTGGCGGACTTAAGCGAAGATCTTCGTTTCATGAGTAAATGCCCATTCACAATGCAAACACAAACATAAGCATGGCGTTAAGATAAAAGTTAGGACTACGTCCATAAGCGGACTCATCCACAATGCGTCCGCATAAGCATAACACGTAAGGCGTTAACTTAAAAGCTTGCAAGCTTCAAGCTTCTGTGCTGGACGGTAACTGAAAATCGAGAATCGAAATTGGAGCGAAGTCAACAGAACTAACGCCATATGAGACATAGACATAGTCGATATCTTGAAATCGATTCTCACATCCAACCAGAGAGTCTCACAGGCAATAGAAAATTATTTTGCTTACGTTTATGTTAGTCGTTGTGAAAACTTCAGTTTATCGTGTATGTTAATGTTTATGTCTGTGCCCTAAGCTTATTTTAACGTTTGCATTGTGAATGCGCCTTAATTCATCCATTGGTCAATCTTCCTGTGAAAATTCCCACTTCGCACCCTGTCCTTGAGGGCCAAAGCGTTTGAAACCGCTCGGAGAGGAACAGCTCCGTCTTAAAGAGAGCGCCTGCATCGCCCGCGGAGGCGCGGGCGTGGCGTGGGCGCGGCGGGGCGCGGGCGGGGCGCGGGCGGAAGCTGCGCGGGGCGGGGGGCGCGGCCGGGGCGGGGCGGGGCCACGGGGTGCGGCGTGGCGCTGGAGGCTTCCACCTGAATCGGGTTTGTTGGAGATCCATTTCGCGCATGGGCTGACAAACGCAGGAGATGAAACAAATCAAGTCCCGGGGCCTGCGTTGCTGACGTCAGGGCAACTGACCGGCGGCTGGAAGGGAACGGGGCCGCGAGGGGGCACTTGACGGCGGCGAGGAGGAGGGAGGGCGATTCGGAAGGGGTAGACGGTGGTGACGGGCAGAGCTGGGAAGTGGTGTGCGAGAAGTGAATATCTAGGGTAGTGTAGAAGGAGAATGGGAGGGGACAGGAATGAGTAGGTGGGGAGGTATGTTGTCGGAAAATCCAAGAGATCCGAGATTTACCGAGAACCAGAAGTGCAAACCCCCAACATAGCACGAACTGGCACAGAGAAAGACGAGGAAAGGAAGGAAAACTCGCGTATTAGAAATGCTGTAAGCAGCTGCTTCCAATGAGTGGGTTTGATAATACAGGAGTTGGCGTAAAAGAATGGGAGAGATGGAAGTGGTCAAAATATTTGGTGGTTGAAAAAAAAAACAGAAAAGTTTGCCACTACAAAGAAAATGAGGAAAGATATAACTTTGGTGAAAAAAATATTGTCGGGAGGTGCGAGAAAAGTTGGATCTGGCTTCAAGTGTTGGTCAAAAGGTTCGAGATCACGGCTGAGTAGATCATAGGAGGGTACTTCACATTGTGGAGCAATGAGAAATTCAGGAGGTTTATTAGGAGATTTATATATGAGTGCTTCATATATGCTATAAAAAAATAATGGTTGTCTGGAAAACTTATGGGAAAGGAGAAGGAGAATAAGAGTTGTTACATTGTGACGTATTTTATTTAAATTTGGTGCCTAGCTTGAAATAAACAATTATAAGCTCTCCATGGCATAAATTCGAGCTAAGATCGTGCATTTCAAACATCGCGGGTCCATGATGGTACTTTTTGCTTGAATGTACTTCATTGGAGAGAGTGAAAAATTAACTCAAGGAATATTGCATTTAAAATTAGTTCGCATTACGAACAGTCCAGCGCACCACTGTCCAGGCCTACGCTGTTAATTATTCTCAGAATATATCAAATTCATAAAAAAACGCATTCGCTTGCATTGTTTAAAACGCTAACATATCCTCACTGGTTGCGGATCGCGTCGCAAACGGAGTAGAAGACATTTTTCAAGGAGTCCAGAACTGCTGGTTATTATTTGACTCTCAGTGCATTATCAAAATTCCTTGACGGCGACCTAAATTGCACTCCTGGCTCGGCAGAGACCCGTTCCACACAAAGCGTGGAGGCCCAGCTGACGTGAATCACGAGATTTGGTAAAATCATGGAATGAACGCCAATATAGGTGATACATAATACCGTTCTTGATATCATTGGTATCGGCAAACACATTCTAACGCCTTCATGTGTTGACAATCTAATTGTTCTATTTTCAGGAGCTGGATGCTGTTCGCATTTGCGACAGCGAAAATTTCTAGTTTCTGATTATTTACTCTCTCACCAAATTCTGAAATGCCAACCCCTAAGACTACTTGGAAGCATAAACAGGAGGATTAGGCTGTTGAGATGCAAACAGCAAGTTGTCATAGTTATGTTTAGTGACGATCGCGGAATCTTCTATTGATCATGCAAAAAAATTATTATGACGTTAATCGAATGGATCGACTTTGGAACTCAAGAAAATCAAATGTGTGTAGAGTTGTCGAGGACTGCAAGGCGAAAGAGACTATATATTCGACAGCGAGCGACGGTAAAAAAAATAAATGACAGAAGAATAGAGTTTTAAAAAAGGGGAAGAAGCGTACACAACGATGATAAACGCATACGAGGGATACAAATTAATACAGAAATAAATTACGGAAAGCTACGATAAGTATGAGGTAGAAATTACAAAAAAGAATAAGATCGCAATATAGAATATTATAATTTACGAAGATGTATACTCTCAAAGAAATAAAACATATCTTTGAAATTAAAAATCCAGAATGTGGAATCGCTATTTACTGCATTTTCGCTATTATGCGAGTAAATATTTAATATGTTGAAATAGCTGTGAAAATAAAAGATAAAAAATAATTCATTATTACCGACAAAAAACTCGGGTGGCAAACAAACCGTTGAAAACGTTGAGCAAGACATTTTTATAATAGCTATCATAATTTCATTTTAAAGCAACGAGAAGTCGTTTTACTAGCAGTGAAGGGAATAGAACGATGACGAAGAGGGTAGAAGACGAGGTGCATGGATAGAAGAAGAGGGTGGAATAAGAAAAGAAGGGGATGGAAGTATAAAGAATAGAAAAGAAAGAAGGAGGGGATGGAAGGCGACGAGAATGGAAACAAGAAAATGTCGAATGAGGAAGAGAAGAGAAAGGAGATGGTGGAAGATGAGGAGAATGGAAACAAGCAGGGGATGGAATAGGAGTGGAACTGGATGGAAGAAGGCAATGGAACGAAGCAGGTGTGGCAAAGAGGAGGAGGATAGGAAAAAAGAGAAGGGAAATAATGTAGAGAAACCTGTTGGCATGAGGACGGAAGCGGAGCGAGGGGCCGCGGGGAAGGGCTGCCTGCCAAGAGGGGGGGGGGCGAGGGCCGGAGCGCGAAGGGCCGCTGGAGGGTCGTCCTGCGCGTGGAGTTTCCGCCGCGAAAAGGGCCTCGAGGGCAGCGGTGCAAATAAAACCACAGGTGCACCGCCCAAGCGAACCGCTTCCCAGCTCTTGAGGGCGATTTGCCTTCGCCCCCTACCCCCACCCCACCCCATCCCATCCCCCACACGCTACAGATCAATAGGAGAGCGCTTCTCCATATGGCAGGCGCCGAATTAAAATGTAATGACGCATCTGTAAGCGTCTCTGTTTCCCAAAGGAATGGGATGGATCAACATTGCAACTATATAACTTTTAAAAACGCATTACAACTGCTTATAAAAACCTAGAACAAGTTAATTATTTTAATTATACGTAATATTTTGTTTTTATAATAAGTATACATGTAGAATCTTAACGGGTAGTCGAAAAAGATGGGGAGTTGTTATTGTAGTACAACTTTTCATGGATGCTTGACGATCCACCTCTTCAAATATTTGAATGAAAACGAATTATCACCTTAACTGACTTCCCCTCGAAGGTCCTACTTTGATCTCTATAATGTTTTAAATTATTTTCATTACTATTTGTACATCTCAAGTAGTGATTTCTAAGGTTTTGAACAGTAACTGCGTGTAGGCCAACGAACTATTGACTTATTACTGAGTAATGTGCAAAAGATGTTGATAAACACAATTTTAAATTCTATAAATTTCTTGCTATACATTCACTTCTAAGACGATCGGCGATATCAGGTTAATGGAGTGTATTGTCTTTAATATGTTTCATACGGAACTAATATCGCCCCTCATTATGTTAAATGTAGAGGGAAGAAGTGGAGAAAGACCCCCCCACAAATGTGGAAACATGTTAATGAAATGTGGCACGATCTCAAATCGAAATAATGATTAGTACTATGGTAATGATAATCGTACATGAATTACGAAGGTGAGTCAACTGAAAAACGTAATAAAAAAACCAAAATTGGCGCGCTAATGTACTGAAAGTTGATAGGCCTGTTTGCAATAGTGTGCCAGATGTTGCCTTAAGCGGTATCGTTTTGAAGAACCACAAACTCCGGCGCAGGAACTGTGTAAAAATGGCTGCCGCACTAACAACGTGCACCATAGAGGAACAGCGTTCAGTGGTTCGGTTTTTGCGAAGTGGTGTGAAACCTATTGACGTTCTTCGACGAATGTAGGTTCAATATGGTGATGCCGGCTTGTCACAGCAGCAAGTGTACGAATGGCGCCGGAAGTTCGCAAATGGAGTGAGATCCGGGGCCCACGCTCCGCGCCCAGGCCAGGCACATCGCGTTGTGATTCCAGAGACCATTGCATCCGTTGAAGCAACCGTGGTGGACAACCGCCGAGTGACATTAGACGACAATGTAAAAGTTGTTTACATTAGTCATCGTTCCGCACATTGCATTGTGCACGATGTGCTCCAATTTCATACGGTGTCTGCAAGATGAGTGCTCCGACAGCAGACCGACTGACGGAATTGAAACAGCGATGCCATCAAAACGAAACGACGTGGATTGCTATCGACAGGTGTTCTACTGCAACACGATAATTCACGGCCCCATACGGCACGTGCAACTGTTGCGACAATAAGAGACCTGATATTTGAATGCCTTTTACATCCATCTTACTCGCCCGACCTTGCCGCAAGAGATTTCGACATCTTTGGGCAACCCAAAGAAGCAATGGACGGCAAGAAATACCATTACGATGATAAGGTACGCCAAGCGGTACACGAGTGGTTGCGCCGTCACAAAAAAAATCTACGGGGATGCAATCATTCGGATGCGCTGGCAGACAGGCATTAAGCGTGGGGAAGACTGTGGAAACGTAATTCAGTTTTGTAACCTGTGTGTATAATAAATAATATTTTAAAAAATAATTACGTTTCTCATTTGACTCACCATCGTAGAAAGGAAGTGGCTACACCATCTTCCAACGGAATGAACTGATAACGGAACGGGCTAGAATCTCAAACCGAAATTTAATGTGCTGCTACTGATGATGACGATGTGTGATGCTGAAGTGTTACAATTTGAAATTTCAATCTGCTATCTCATACCCTTTTTTCTTAAATAAAATTCAAATTGACAATTTTGAAAAAGTATTCTTTCAATCTTATTCAGAAAAGAACCTAATAAAAATGTTTTCAATTCTGTATTCTGTATTATCTTCTTGCATTTAGTTCCTTAATGCAAAAAGATAATGTGAATAGAACGGACACAATAAACAAATTTAATTCTCAACATGAATATAACATTTGGAAATACATACCTTGTTTTCTATTTTCCGTAAATTCAATTGTTTGCATTCAACACGTGTAGCATGTAAATTATAAACACAATACCAGTGTGCAATCATCAAATAGACGTAAATAATGTTATTAAGTGAAAGATTTTAATAAAGCTCTGATGTCCAAACACACCTATGCATCACAGAGGAATCTGAATTTCGCTCTCTCATTCATTAAAAACGCAGATGTATAGAAATCCATTTGACGTAAATTTGGCTTATTGTCTGGCAGTCCCGACAAAAACACGCATACATTTCATTCGATGTTATTGCATAACAACAAGAAATAACTACACGACACCCTGTTGATGGAAACATGGAAGAGGCTCCGCGTGTGACAGGGACAGAGACTTCTAAAAATAGGTTACACCCTGAACTTATCGATTGCCGGTTACCTTAAAGCGATGAACATGTTACCGCCGACACGGCTTTAAAGCTTTCTAATTCATATCAAAACATATACGTTTTGAGCTCATAGCGTGTATCCTACATAGCACAAAACAAAAAGAAATGTATTGTACTGTCAAGTCAATCGAGCTTCTTTCACTTACCGGTCTTCTCAAAATGGGTGCGCCGTTCTTCTATAAAGATGGATACCGTCATACTTTGCAGAAAGATTCCAGTCTGAAACACAAAGCACAATAATGAAGAGAGTAATGCAATATAGTAAATAAACAAAAATAATTAAATGCAATTTATTAGTTTGATTGATTTCAGTAAATTGAATCAATTCGTACATATAAATTTTACTTTTATTTACAAATAAAAATAAATAATATTAAAACTGTATAGAAATGTGATGTGGTAATTGGACGAACGCAAATCTTACACCCTTTTAAATTATTGCTCTAAGAGTGAAAATATTGAAACTTAAAGGTTATGTTTGCCGACAACACGTTCTCCTCTCTAATTACTACAGAACATTCAAAAACACCTTATTTTCTTTAGTGTTGGCACACAAAATATAACTTCTGAGTGACACAAATATAGTATTTTTAAGGGCCTAAGCGTAGTTTCAAAATTATGCACCATGGTAATGTAATTTGCAGGTTCCAAGTGCGCCTGATATTTTTCCTATATTATAACTAGTGAACTTTTGTTTGATGCAGAAGTGGGAGGTAATTCTCACTCCGGCGATAGCTCTCTCACAGGGTGTTCGTAAGCGGTTTCTTATAAGCGGTATACAATCTTAACTTTTTCCCTGGCGTATTACATATGGAATGAATTACTATGTTATGTCAAATACGGTACTCGCGGAGACAACGACAACACATCATCCCTTCCTCCCAATTCTTCTTGCCATGTATCCATAATGTGATCCAAATATTGAAAATGTATTTTGATGTATTGCAATATTGCGAATATTTTAATGTTTTCTAAAGAAGAACAGAGGAATAAACGGAAAATGGGGAAGAAAAATCCCCTTAAAAGCAAAGAAACTTAAAATCTAAAAGTTATGACTCTCCTCTCGTAGAACCTGCATGGCTTTAGCACCCGTTTAAACGAATTAAAGCTGATAATAGACCCGTTGTTATCTGCCTGCAGGAAACACATCTTCCTGAGTATTACCTCTCTCTTCGTGGCCTTTGCTGCTATAGTCAAGACATTGATGATAGCCTCCTGAGACATAGCGAAGTCGTTACGTTCATCATAGACTCCCTGGTGTCCAAAGAAATAGACCTACGAATCACTCTTCAGACAACTTGCGTTCGTGTCAACTTCCACACTATATCGATAACTATTTGCAACGTCTATATTCCTTCTGGCCAAGTCATATCGCAAGAGGAACTTAAAGATTTGTTATCTCAGTTGCCCGCCGCTTTTCTTATTGAGTGGGACTTTAATGCCAACAATCCCGCCTGGGCACTACGACCTGCTCGAAAGGTATTATACTTGAAAATATTGACCTCCAGAACTTAAGTCCTTTGAATACTGGCGAAATCACACATTTTTCTGTAGCTTCAAACACTTTCCCGTCCACGGATCTGGCTCTCTGTAGTCCATCTCTCTCTACCATCTTTGAGTGGACTGTCCTTAGCGGCCTGCATGACAATGGCCAGTTTCCCATTCTAGTTAATTTCAATATCCTCAACCCAAACGTTGCTCGTCCTCCTCGCTGGCTAATCCACCGAACTGAATGGGAAACATTCGAGAAAGAAATACGGATATCGGAAGCCTGCGCAGACGATATTGATGCTCTGGTTGTCCATTATACTGATGCCGTTTAGCGATGTTCTTGCCTGAAGGGGCGACTGTCCATCCCGGCTGAAGATTCCTTCGAGGCTGATTCCTCCTGAGCACTGCTCGACGGGCTACGAAATCGCTCAGAGCGAGTCTCAGGAGTCGGGGTAGGTGGTCGAAGTTTGAAGAAACGATTTTTTTTAAGGTTGTCTGGTCCGGAAGGCCGAGTGACACAGGGGTTTAGTAGTGGATTCCGATCCACCTTCGCCTGTATGGTTTGTATTTGGATGGAATTGTTATCTTCCCACATTGCAGAGGTGGTTTCACCTCAGGGAAGTCTACTGAAGACAGCTAGCAGCGGAAATAAGCAACTGGGAGAGTAGCAGCTGTTATGGCCAAAGTACTGGAAATCAAACGCCCGAGATCTACATGGTTCTTCAATAAGTATCGGCGTTTCGCCTCGGCAAAGGATACCTTCTCCGTCACTCTGATCTTTTGAATCTCCCTCTCCCTCAGATATGTAGGGCACTTGTTCGAGCTGGCCGCATGGTCTACTTCACAGTTAACACATCAAAGTGGGGGGCCCAGGGATCCGTATCGTGCGTGTATTTGCCGCACTTTGCGCAAACAGGTCTTAAGGCCATGCGCCGCTGTTGGGTATGGCCGAACCTCTGACACATGAAGTAAAGAAAGGGATTTCTCACATATTGCCGCACGTGTAGATTATAAAAACCACAACTAATTCTCCCTGGGAGAGAGGGGAGATTAAACGTCAAAGTCAGAGTGGGAATAGGGATCTCTCTACAATTTTCTTTCCTCTTGATCCTAAACACCGCCGTTCCTCTCTGACTATTGGAGAAAGAAGTTCCCTCTCACTTTCGGACGCAAAGTCGTCGTGTTTCACAACTCCCTTACATAGGTTAAGGGTAGGAGGAGTGGTCACTTACACCTGGAGGCCGGCAAGCTGCTTTGTTTTCGAGATTTTTAGATTTGCTCATCAGTGTGTGCTTCGAAGAGAATGGTACCTTTCCTCTGACGCACCACCAATTGGAGTTTACCGAAACTGCCCTCAATGGCTGGCGCGCAACGAACCGCACTAGTACTTTTAAATTTTTTCCCTTCTTCCGTGCACGCCTTCACAAGGAAATGTGTTCTCTGTTCTGATCTAGAGATCCTTGGGTTTGAGTCAAGATGATAGCAGATTTTCGAACCAGCTAGACAGCTAGGTCAAATTCAGCAACTTTTTGAACAGAATTATCGAAGCTTGCTTCTAATGTAGGTAGTTTTCTATGGTTCTCTGATCAATACCAGAAACACCGCAGCAGTATCTTAACAATCAGACCTCCAATAGCGATTAATTCTTCCTTCTTCATCCTAGCCAACACCTCTCTCCTCGCACATGCAGTACATATGCACTCTGCCCTAAGTCACGTATTAGAAGCTTATAGTTCATCCAGGCAGGGGCGATACCCCGCTGAATGCGATACCTGGAGGAGGAAACTTTACAAGCCAACCTGTACGTTTGCACTGGATCTCATATTCCAGTCCGAGAAGAAACACCGCAACCCGGATATAAGATAAAGTACTTACGGGTTAACACACCCGGAATTACTAAATAATGAATCTATCAAACATTATTTGTTAATCGTATTCTTTCTCATCTTAAAAGCTGCTCGTGATTCGTACGAAGAAAATTCACGAACAGTCCGCCACAGAATATTCTAGAAGACGCCTCCGGTGGATCGGGTGAGGCAATGCGAAGCGAGCGCCACCTGTCGCCAGGGCGGCGGCGGCGGCGGCGGTGGCAGCGGTGGCGGGCGGTTATTGAATCCGCGCGTCTGCCCCTCCCTCCCGCGACCTTTCGTATCTCTGCGCCCGCCCTCGCGCGCACAGGATCCGGGCCTTATCGTCGTACCGCCCCTCAACCTCCCCTTCCCCTGCCGCCCCACGCCCCTGCCCTGCCTTGCCCCTTCTCTCCGCGCCCCCGTCCCGCTCCGCTCCCTCTCATCCCAAAGGACTGACACGCGCGGCGTCCTCTCCGCGTCCCCCTTGGACTTCATAACCGCCGCACCCCACTTCCCCTTACCCCTTGCAGCCCTTCCCCGCTCCGCCGTGCGCCACCCCGCCTCGCCCGGCCTCTCCCCGTCCCACTCCCTCTCCTCCCCACCTCATCTCTTCCCGAAAGACTGCCGCGCGTGACGTCCTCTCTTTTTCCTCCCTGGGCGTCGTAACTACCACGCCCCGCCGCGCCTCACTCCGCCTAGCCCGCTCTGCTCCGCTTCCCCGCCCTGCTCCTCCTTCCCCGCCTTGTTTCGCTACTCACCGTCCCGGAGGAGTGCACTGCGCGGCTACCCCTCCGCTTCCCCCTTGGTTTCATAACCGACACCGCCTCCGCCACGCCACATCGCCACCTCGCCACGCGCTCCAGATTTCTTTGCGAAAATATGTTCTGGTGAGTTATCGTTGGCATTTCTTAATAAATAATATTGTTGGAAATGACGACGCATATAATTATTTCTTTGCGAAGCTCCTCGCCATATCGATGACGTTTCTGGAATTTTATGGAAAGAAAATAAAGATTTCTCAAATTAGTTTCAAATTTTGCTTGAGAATGCGAAAATACTTCACGTCTCAATCTACAACTTACAGCGTAAACCAGACAGTTGGGTTGACGTAACTGTAACTGATATTTCACGTTTTGTAGGAAAAAGCGGTGTAGTAGCACGTAAATTACATGAAAACAGCGGCAAAAGACGCTGATTTCATCGCCATTTGTCGTTCATTCTATAAATTACTTCAAATATGGATAGAAGTCCGCCCTTTACTCTCTTATTTGAACCTCGATTTTGCCCAAGATGTCCTATACAATTTTCTACATTCGAACGCCGTAAATTATATTGAATATAGTTATTTGAATGTGTGAGAAATTGTTTCGTCAAAATAATAGTGATCTTACAACTTCGTTTCAATAATTATTTTTCATATATCTCGAATACATCTTTCGTATTTTGCAAATTTTATAATTTCTTTAAAAGAGATATACATTGTTGTCAATCTTATTTTCATTTTCGTGCTATATGCATTTGGAATATTATTTAAATTCAACAATTTCGCTACTAATACGAATATTTTATTAGAACCACAAACTTTTAAGTGTAATGTACTATTACGTTTATATATACTGACGTCAATTCAATAAAATAACAATGTAAAATGTTTTGGCAATAATTATCGCGTTATTAGTCACTAATAATATAATTGTAATTGATATAATTTTCATTTCAGCAAAATTAAGTAATTGTTGGAAATTTCATTTCTGATTCCTGAATATTTAATTATATCACGAAATTGAAATACACATTTATACAGAAACCCTACCGTTACAAAAGTAAAAATGTAAATAAAAATATGGACCTTGATTATAGAAATGAATATTCATACTGAGTAGGCTAATTGTTACCGAGATCAAACTGAGTGTGTATCTGATAGTTTATTATCCTCATGTATATTTCCCCCCGATTAGTCTCTTTCTCAAAGGAAACCTTTTATAAAACGAGTAAACGCAAATAATTGAGTTTATTTCGCATTAAAACAATCAGCCTTCATTCTAAACTTTGGTTTAAATACAATAATCAGTAAAATATACAAATTTAAATCAACGAACTCTAAACAAATATCTAGATTCTTTATCAAATATCCTCGGAAATGCTGTATTTTCAACCAATAAAGAAAGAAACTCCTAGTACATTCAGTGTCAAGTGAACGAAACAGCATTTCACTTTTCACTCAGAAATCATTCGAACGCACATCGATATTGATAATTATCTGGTATTTCCTCCGGGAATATAATCAGTCTTGAAGGTCAACATGCCCTGTTGAATGGTATTTTGGCTGAAAAAAATATTTCTTGGCAATATGCTTGAATGTAAAATACAAAAACAAGCAACGAATTTCCAGGTGAAACCTTCAAGAGCCATGAAACCGTGCATCGTTGATTTCGTACTGAGGACTCATAGCGAACGTGTTTTAGCGATGCAAATTGTTAGCTCGTGCTCACTCAACAGGGCACATAAGACACCTCCTCTTATCGATATCTTCTTTGATCGAAGTGGATGGCCTGGATGCAGGAGAGCGTTGAAAGAAATCTAGGAATGCAATTGAGCTACTCAATGTTTGTACCATGGGATACTTTGTGTTGCATGTTGAAAATTGTCTCCGAGTTAGGAATCAAAACAGAAAAAAGATTAAAACGACGTTTATGGCAAAGAAATTGAATATGTAGTAACTACTACAGTATGGAAAGCAATAAATAGAAATAAATTTGATATTATTGTGGAAACTGATATTGATTCACAGTCTTAGAATAAGTAATTTAATATTCATTTTGATTCGTATATTGGAGTTAATTTACGAAACATTGGTTAAACTCAGTAAGCTAACTCTGTGTTCTGATTTATTGATTAAAAACTGATAAATCGTTTTGCACATCAGTAATATCTATGATTAATCACAACACAGGACATTTCTAATCACATTTTATAATTTGTTTATGAAGCATCTCTTTTCACTTTCTTTGATAGGATTAGAAAATGATTTGTGAACTCATTAATTCGTAAATACTGAATGTAGCAATTTTCTACGTTACGAGCACTGAAACGAAAAAAAAGCATTACCTTATAGATTTACACCAGCTTTCGAACGTATTTCAAAGAGGGGAATGAAATGAATCCAATTCTCTTACTAATGGTAAATATAACGTCGTAATATTATAATATCTGATATTGGGTGATCATGATATTACGCATGATACGAGGTATAATTAAATTTTCGATGTAACGAAATAAATCAAATTGGTATCATGTGATTCACAGAACACGTGACTACAATTATCTTTTGCGGACGTCGCGGTGGGAAATGAAATTCACCGCCGTTCTCGCCACCAGACCCCTTTCATGAATGCGCCCTAGGGAGATCTCCACAAAAGCTACTCATACTAATGCAGACTCGCACGACCCCTACGCATAATACGAAGCTGCTTATTCTGAGCATCATCTATGAAAACTAGACCCAAATGTAAACAAGAAAGTTTTCGTAAAATTATTTATTGCCTTTATTTCGCCATTTTAAGGATGCGTACTTTTTACCAAACGTTTTGTATTTTATTATTTCCTCTAAAATCTATTTGGCACACAATTATGTGATAATAGTCGTATTTTAAAACAATTATAGTTGTAAATCTCTTTTGCAACACTGTAACTTAATTTCAAATATTAAATTACTCCATTTGCAGAAACGAAGGTGAGGAAGGAAAACTGTCACAACGTAGTAATATTTTTAAGAACAATGGAGATACATTATTAAACAATACGCTGATAAATAATATTTAACGCATCCCTTAGCTAAGCTCTTCGCGTGGTTCATAAACAGCTTGATAGTTTTTGGTGAGGCGGTATCGGGTTCGATTACCGGCCTGAGCAAAAATGAAGCTATAGCTTTCTAATACCAATCGTCTCAGTTTCTAAAGCTGTGTCATTAGAAAGGTCAGGCGGGACAAGTACGGTGAGTGGTGACGAATTTTTCTCGCTCGTCACGGGTCTCTTTTACCCTCAGGTGTGGATAATTAATACAGTGCCCAGGCCTGGAAACAACGCTAATTGGCTAAAGTCGGATTAAACCGACACTAAAATGCCAAATATCAAATTTTTAGTTATTAATTTTAGTTAATAATAGAATCATTCTCTGTTATATCATGAATGAATGATGTAGATTCTTAAATGACTTAATATGAGTTTTATAAAAAAGGAAAGGTAGGAATAGTAGGAAAAATCCGGAAGCAATGGTAGGAAAAATGGAAGAACTTCCAGAAACCTGCAAAAATCCCTCTTTGTTTAATGTGAATTCCGCGTAAATTGACAGATTTGAAACACCAAAGACTCTAGAAAATATATCGCCCACGCTGGATACACCACGATTCGTCTCATAACTCATACCAAACATTTCGGACTACACGTACTTGTAATCGAGCATACTTTCAACCGATCTGCAAACATCGATTTAACTTCGCCCAGCGACCCGCCCAGCAGGAATTTTTAATTATTCACCCAAAACGGGCGTCGATCTCTTTTATAAATATTAATGAAGTTATGAATGAAAAACACCTCCTATTGAGTCTGGGCGCAGAAAGCGCCCCTCGTCCTCCTCGTTCACCCTCATGGGAGGAAAGAGGCGGGGGCGTCCCAGAGGGACGACCCACAGGGAGAGGGAGGGAGGGATGGCCGCACGCCGCCGCCGCCGACGACCGCCGCCGCCGCCGCCGCCGCCGGCCGCCGCCGCCTGCGCGCCGCCGCCGCCGCGCCCCGCCGCCGCCCGCCGCCGCCGCCGCCGCGCGCCGCCGCCGCCGCCTCGCCGCGCCGCCCCGCCGCCGCCTGCCGCCGCCGCCGCCGCCGCGCCGCCGCCGCCGCGCGCCGCCGCCGCCGCCGCCCGCCCACCCAACCCTCCTCGCCCGCCTAGCCGCCGCCCTTCTCGCGCCCCGCCGCCGCGCCGCCGCCGCCGCGTCGCCCGCGCCGCCGCCGCGCCGCCGCCGCCGCCGGCGCGCCGCCGCCGCCGCCGCCAGCCGCTCGCCGCCGGCCGGCCGCCGCGCCGCCGCCGCCGGCCGCGCCGCCGCCGCCGCCCCGCCGCGCCGCCGCCGCCGCCGCCGCGCCGCCGCCGCCGCGCCCGCCGCGCCGCCGCGCGCCGCCGCGCCCCGCCCGCCGCCGCCCCGCCGCCGCCGGCGCCGCCGCGCCGCCGCCGCCGCACGCCGCCGCCGCCGCGGGCCGCCCCGCCGCCGCGCCGCCAGCGCCGCCGCCGCCGCCGCCGCCGCCGCCGCCGCCGCCGCCGCACGCACGCCGCGCGCCGCCGCGCGCCGCGCCGCCGCCGCCGCCGATCGCCGCCGCCGCCGCGCCGCTCGCCGCCGCCGCAGCCGCCGCCGCCGCCGCCGCCGCCCGCCGCCGCCGCCGCCGCCGCCGCGCGCCGCCGCCGCCTCGACGCCCAGCGCGGCCGCCGCTCCCCCCGCGCGCGCCGCCGCCGCCGCCCCGCCGCGCCGCCGCAGCCGCCCCGGCCGCCGCCGCCGCCTCCGCCGCCGCCGCCGCCGCCGCCGCCGCCGCGCGCCCCGCCCGCCCGCCGCCGCCGCCGCCGCCGCCGCCCCGCCGCCGCCTTGCCGCCGCCGCGGCGCCGCCGCCGCCGCCGCCGCCGCCGCCCCCGCCGCCGCCGCCGCCGCCGCCGCCGCCGCCGCGCCGCCGCTCGCCGCGCCGCCGCCGCCGCCGCCGCCGCCGCCGCGCCGCCGCCGCCGGCCGCCCCGCCGCCGCCGCCGCCGCCGCCGCCGACGGCCGCCGCCCGCCGCCGCCGCCGCCGCGCCGCCGCCCGTTCGCCGCGCCGCCGCCGCCCGCCGCCGCCGCCGCCGCCGCCGCCGCCGCCGCCGCCTCCGACCGCGCCGCCGCCGCCGCCGCCGCCGCCGCCGCCGCGCCGCCGCCGCCGCCGCCCCGCCCGCCGCCGCCGCCGCCGCCGCCGCCGCCCCGCCGCCGCCGCCGCCGCCGCCGCCGACGCCGCCCCGCGCAGGACAAAGGGGCGAAGTCCGGGACATTCATTCTCCTCGGGACAGGGACCAATTCGATTACACAGCGCGCGCACAACAAAGTGGGCGATGCGTGGCCGGCCACGCCCCCGCCGTCGCCGCGTCAAAACATTTTTGTTCGCGCGCGCCGGGATTAGAAAACCGCTCGTCACCGCGCGCCATTGGTCGGCGCGCGGCGCTGTTATTCTCGGCGCAGGAGCGGAGATATCGCGGCCGAGAATAATGGAATGACAGAAGGAGATTCTGGCATTCCCGGGAGGCGGGGTCCGAGGACCGTGTGTGGGGTGGGACAAATCTGTCATGGTGAGTCAAACAGTAGACGGACATTGTTGAGATTAGTGTTGATGCGTTTGGGATTAATGCGAGCGAAATGGCGAATATGCATACTCGTGTCTTAAGAGGGGTAGCGAGATTTAAAAGGCGATTTCAATAAAAATACGGTGTTAAAATAATTACAGAATATAAAATGTAATTCCCATATCAGCTAGAGGTTGAAAAACCGAGAATTTTTCTAATTTAATGTTAATAATTTTATCTTGTTGACAAACCTTTTGTACTTTTACATTATGCAGCATTGTATCACCTCGTAACTTCACCATGTACACTATTATTATTATCACACTGTCAAAAAGTTTCAGTTACTACCTTCATTATTTGTCCCACTCTCATACCTCTTCATTTTATTATCATCACTATCATACATCACATCTGTTCGTTATGAGCACAGAATCATTACTATCACCTCTATCTACTATAACTCTATCACCATTTTTATCATCTCTATCTTCCCATCATATACCTACTATCACTCTTCATCATTATCACCACTATTTCACTATCGCTACACCATTAGCATCATTATCCCATCTACCCCATTCAATGCATCCACCATATCCACTTCTCCTCTTTTGCAACACCTACACTCTTTCCATCATTTCATCCACTTAATCAAGCACTATCCCGCTTTCTTCTCGGCACTGCGTCGTCGCATTCCCCGTGCGTGCGCCTTGGCGCTTGCCTTCCCAGATCGCCCTGCGGCTGTCACGGCGACCGATGCCGATGAGGGGGACACGACAGGTTGGACTTCATTGTGAAGGGAATTGCCACGCGCTTGTCATAACTCTCACAGTTCAGAACGATATGAATTGGTTCAGAGCAGGAACACGTTTGGCAAATTTCTTGTCTTTCTGTTCTCGCCGTTTCTGTTTACAGTGATATATGTTCAGGAAAATTTTTTTTGAAAATTTTTTCTTTTTTCCCCAGTTCAAATTGTTGGCTGTTAATTACTTCTAAACTGAAAAAATGTGCTATTTCTATATTCGCATTTTAAAATTCATAATATAATAATATTTCAAAATTTGTACCCATTCAGGCTCATAATGTTCAAAACTACATATAATTTATTTCTATCTTTAATATATATATTAATTTAGACATGTATATTCTAGCTCTGTGAATCGCAACAATATAATCTTCTTAGCTGCAGAAAGTGCACATCTAAAAAAACTGGTGGTTTTTAGATAAAATGAAGACATGACTTTTGAGTTTTCACCTGGCTATTGCAATACATATTCTTGCATTCACTCTTTGCTATTTGTTGGTGGATACTGTCTGTAAGATATGCTCCTGGAAGTGCTAATGTACAATCTAGAGGCCATGTGGGGTGAAATACCAGAATCCAAAGTTTAGACGAGTAGGATGTAGCATTTAATGCTTTCAAAAGCCTTCAGCCTTTCCACATAGTCTTAAGTTTTTAATTTGTATATGTAAATAATTACCTATTAAGTAAAACAATTCTGGAGTGATGTCCGATCGCAAATCCGTATTTTTGTTGTTGTGCCACTATTGCAACATCTAAGATCGAGGTTAATCCACTTTTGCACATTATCCTTCAGAGCTTGTCCGTCTCGTTTTTCCATTTCACTTCCGGCTTTCTTCTCCCCCTTCTGCGCGTAACCAATCCATTAATTCAGTGGGTTGGCGAGGAGGACGATTAGCGTTCGATATACATCCGCGCTCATCCCGCGTTGTTTGATGGGAAAAATATTTAAGACGAGGAGGTGAGCAGGGAAGAAGTGGATGAACCCGCTGCCGCCCGCCCCGCCGCCTCCCCGCCCTCCCGCCCCACCCCGCGCGCCAATTAATAACATGCCTGTGAGTCATGCGGCGCTGCAAACATCAGCAGAGTCTTGAAGATAGGGAGGGTGTGGGTAGGGAGGGGGTTAAAGAGATCGTGACGAGGGAGGGTTGGATTGCGATTGGGGTTGAGGTGTAGCATTTGGAGATTGTTTGTGGTTGGTGATTGCTCTGACCATAGTTGACGTGATGACGGTGATTGCTGTCTTTGAATGCTTCTGGAGTCTTTTCGCGCACTGTAGCTCTAATGTAACATTCGAACTTTGAGTTACTTCTTCGCATAAAGAGGAAAACATATTATCGTTGAGAGCATATAGAACGTTATTTTATAAAGGCTGTGGAGCACAGATTGGAGACAAAGCGATACGGGTAGAGAGCTTATGGTTTTCCTTACCTAGTGTGCTATCAAAACGTGTTCAGCGTCTTTCCTACAATAAGTGAATTGAAGTGTATTTGGAGAGAGTAAACTGCTTTTAAAAGTTTTACAAATTTAAAAGTTTAATTTTTTTTTAATGTCCCGTTTCAGTAAACTTCCTAAATTTATTGAAGATTCCAGAAGTTACGTAATGCGGAAATTAAAATTTGCATGTTGGAGCATCGCTATTTTTGGTTGATTTAGAACGAGTTGTTTTTCTTTAAGAAATTATGTTTTACTGCACCTAGATTTTGGAAAATAATTAATGTATTTATTGTTCCTTAGTGCTTAACTTCTTAATATAAATGTATATTTATTAAGAAATAAATGATGGAAAGTGTAATAGTAGGGTGTTACATGAATTTCTTTTACACAATTCAAAAATTACATCAGTTGTTCTCATATTAAAGTGTATTGTGTGGTGTGTCACATCGCAAAATGACACTCTGTTCGTGACTTAGATACTGGAGTGTTTTAATATGTGATTGTTATTGCTGATATAAGTCATGTGGTATTTGTTTCTTTATATATATATAATGGTATTGTACTTGTGTTTGATGGTATTATGCATGTGTTGTTGAAATCTATCTTGACGGTCTTGTTATCTGGTGATTTGTATTAGCTTGATTTTTTAAATATTTTTCGAACACTTGGCGATTAGATACATTGTTTATTTTTAGCTTAATGTTCATATCCCATGATTCTTGACTCTGGTTTAAGGTGGTCATGGGATTTTTGTTTACAACTCATTATATTAATGAGAAGGATGAGACGTTTGAGCGTGGTGTGATAGCGTCTAATAAAAGCTGAATTATTTGGCGTCCAGCTGAGATTGACACCGACCGTGAATTGAAGATCTCATAGTATTTCGAATCCAAAACGGACAAACCATATCAGTACGTCGCGCCTATGAAGACAATGCCTGTAATGACGAATGGTGATATAGTGCAGAATGTATTGCTCGCTGAACAGTGAGTTTCCAAAAACACTCCCGCCGAGGACGGACTTTGAAGAATATTCTCTAGCAAGTTCGATTCGTGATATTACGCAAAC